TTTCAAAAAATGATAAAATATGTTTGCAAGTTTTTCGTAATCAGAGATACTTGAAGACAATAATTGAGAAATTGTAACCTGATCATCAGTTTAGTCTAATAAGCCACCATAACTACCCTTCACACACTGTACAATCTGTATGCATGTCCTGAGGGCAGGCGTGTATTTTCTTGGCCACGGACTATTTTCCATTATCTTCTTAGTGTGCTTTGGGTCTCATTTGGCAGAGCAGAAGAGATACTTGCCAAAATTATCAAAACAGTAATTGGGCGCCTCTCTCTCTTTTTTTTTCTATTATCAACCCAAACCATCCAGAGCCATGTTAATCTGCATTAGTAAGCAAGCCCCATTTGGAGTCGATGTACCGCAAAAAGCGGCTTTCAGTCAATACGAAGATCATTATACAAAATAGGAACATCTGTTATTTTTGTATTATAACCTCTGCAGACTTAATAAACAAACAAGGCGGCTTTTTAATGTAAAGAAAACCAGTGCACAAAAGCATCATAAAGGCGTTATTTGCAATTGGACGGTTACCTATAAGGATACAAACACGCACAATCTGCTTGGTATAGCGGATTCACACATGAATTGAGTAACTAATAAAAAAATCGATGGGAAATGACTGCTTTCAATTGAGCAGTTTTTTCCACGTAGCTCAGTGTCGTAATATTATCTCTAGCCATATCCTCTTGAGCTGTTTTGATAAAATGTTTTTCTACAGTTAAGATTAAATCGATGCATAACAAAAGCTTTTGTATTACAATATCTAGACAGAAATGTATAGAATTACCACGCATTAATCACTCGACATCAACGATGATAAAAAAATGTCTCCCTCTCTCTCCCTCTCTCACACACACACACACACACACACACACACAGAGAGAGAGAGAGAGAGAGTTTTCACTAACAGGAACTAAGCATGAGCATCTTACCCTAGACATATTATGGATGGATCGTAATGCACAAATGTCGTGTTGACAAAGGTATAGAGCAGTGGATTTGACAATTTACTCTAAGATTTGACTCACGCCTCATTTCATTATACACACCATCATAAGAAGCATTATGGATTTCCAAAACTCCTTATTCCCTGTTAATTGGTATCCAATTGCTTGATTAAAACAGTCCTGAATTGATCGCTTATTAAGAATTTATCAGTATTTGCGATAAAGTAGCCCATTTCCGCCCGGCCACGATAAAGGTGAATAAATACAGGTGAGATTAATAATCAATAGAGTCTTTTCTACCATGAAAGTCAGTCACGCGCGTAAGTGGACAGGAATTGACTTTATCACGAACCTTTAACCTTTTTTTCTCATTGATGCATCCACACACTTCATTCTTATGTTATTTCACTTGCTATTCTGTTGTGCACAGTCTTACTTTGAAGTAAATTGTACATCTTCCCGTGTCCCACATTAATAAACCCATTCAGGTTATCAAACAGAAGGCGAGGAATTCTACTATATATCAGAGTTGTAAGATTTCGAGTTACAGAGAGCTGAAATGTATTTAACTGATAGCGCGGCCTTGGGTGGTTGGGATTAGGATTAGGATGTCAAATGTATACATATATATGTAAACTAATGCTTGCCCCCTTTTATTCTTTCTTTAAAATAAACTCACTCTTTGAAACTACTATCTCAATTTTAATGAACATCCTGGTATTTTCTGTGTAGCCAGGAAAACAGGAATACGATAAATTCAGGTCGTGAGATAACATACGGGCACCGTCACTTAAAAAAGGCCCTAAAAGCAAATCCCACAGCTTTTATGCAGGCAGAGGATTAAAAAAACTAACAGCATACATAGATATTTATGAAAGCTTTATACGGCAAAGCGAATTATTCGTTAGCAATGGCGGATTTAGGTTGACAAGTGATATTGTTTTACAAACTGGGAAGTAAGCTTTTGCACTGAAAAGAATGTCATTTACTGAGTGATCACCAGGGTTTTTCTGAAGAGCAAAATGGTTGATGTTACTCCCTAAATTATGCATGCATGCACCGTAACGTTACAACGGCACTGAATCTGTTTAGTACGTGTAATTTAAAAACAAAAACAAAAATAATTATACCTGATAACAAAATCGAAGACCGCTGTAGGATCACCGTAACTGGTGAATAAAAAAACGGGATGCTCATACTAAAGACTAAATGAGAAGGAAATAAAATAACGATCTCTCAGATCCAGTTTATTTTGATTTGTTTCAAAAACAAACTTCTCGACAGATCGAAACATTCGAGAGTAGCCGCTAAATAAATATCTAAAAATAGTTTACAGATACGAGACTGCGTCATATCCTTCCAACTGAGAGCCTTAGAGAGAAAAGGGTGACAAAAATAAATGGCACACCTCAAACAGATTGATATTTATGAAAAGAGACACCAGTGGACTCGGGTTTGTCTATCTTGAGAATACAATAGTGACTTCGATAACAGAGAAAATTGGTATTGTTTGTTTTGGATATGAAACATTTCAATCCCTTTCAAAAATTTCAAAACAGGAATCGGATGGCTACTTGAAAAAAATCTATGGGTCAATAATATGACAGATTCAACGTACAGGTAATTGAGGCCCCTCAGTTTTTTTTGACATTACCAGTCTCTATCACTGATATACCTACTTATTGTTACTGCCTGCGTATCACTTACTGAATATACATATTGCACTATATCCTAAGTGTTTTTTCCCTTCCTCTTTCACATTTTTTTCAAACCTAGGTAAGCCAATTAATACATGTTATTGTTGCCACTGGGAAATTGCAAGTGTTATATTTCATCAATACAAAATATTTGCCAAGTGTCAGAACCAATTTTCAATGGCCTTTTATTCCTATGTCAATTAATTAGAGTATCAGCTATATATTTAGCCTCTAAAGAGAGAGAGAGAGAGAGAGAGAGAGAGAGAGAGATGAATCTTCTCTATAAATCCCTCGTAGAAAAAATGAACCAGAACCCTTCATGCTACAGTGTAACTCCATTGCCCCCATTTCTAAGAACAAAACACCAGCATCGACAGAATCTTTTATCAATTTCAATTTCAGAACTCGATCTTTTACACAAAGACGCAGCGGGTTTTTGCTTCTAGATAACAAAGCCACGATAATCGAATCATGCATAAGTTCATTACGGTAAGCGTATGCAGTATCGGGAATTGGTGTCAAGTTTCATCACTGGCTTCACTTCGTATTTCAAAGGATACACGGATAAGGGATGGGCAAAATATGTCGCATGTTTTTAAGTATTTAAATCGATGCAGATGACTGAAAATAGTGAAGACGTTTTTTTTCCTGAGAGCTCCCGCCCACTGGAAAACAACATGCATAAAATTACATCATAAATTATCATGGGATGGGTTATGGTCGAAAACTCTCGAAAAAAGCTTTAACAAATTTCCGTTAACGATGACGGAGAGCGCATGCTTGGCAGAGGACAATCACCGCCAGTACTCTGAAACTCAGGGTTACGGAGAACATCTGCTGGATAGCCATAAAATTACTGTCAGCACACTGAACACCAGGCACGGTTTGCCCACTCAAATCTGAGTAATTATATAATACCCTGTAACCATGGGCGTCCGCAGAAAATTTTCCAGGGGGGAGGGGGTCAAAGTCATTGAAGGGGGAGATAATGATTGGCTGGGTACCCGCAATTAACGTGCCCAAGGGTGGTTAAGTGACCCCCATTGACCCCCTGCGGACGCCCATGCCTGCAACTGAGTGTCCTACCTAAACAACATTGCACCAACGTAGTAATGCACGTGCATTCAAATAATAATCTTATGTGCGGTATTCATATTCCACATCCAAGCACAATATCATTCTGTACCAGAAAATTAAGTTATATTTAGACAAACAACATCGATATACAAGATAAAGAAGGATCCGATTTAGAATCATTACAGGTTGTTGAAGAGAGTTATAGCAGTGTTAATTAACGAATGCCATTGACGACCTTCGAAATTGTTGTGATACCAAAACTTTTGCTGTTTGTGTTAAACATTAAAAAAGAAAATAAGAGAAATACTATGAACCATCGCAAGGGATGAGGGATGCAAACTATGATGATATCTAAGTATTTCACTCTTTCTAGAAACCTTCAAAATTAATATCCTGTCTGGAAAACGCACCCATGTAATATTTCAGTCGGACTGATGATCTATGTTTTCGCCGGTTAATTGAATGGTGCTATTTTATATGATTTTTCACATGCTTCCCTTAATTCATTTTCCTTGTAATGCTGGCTAACTACATTGTAAAGGTCGTATTTGAAACAGGTAATAGCAGCTAACACGAAGCAGGTGAAATAACCATAGATGAGGGTTATTTCTGTCTGTGTAACCTATTTGCGGACAGGTAAAACCAGGAGCTTTGATATTTAACAGATGCCGAGTAGTTTATACGAGGCATTAAAGGTTACACGGAACTGCATAGCTTTCTTTACCATATGACTGCATCAAGGAAAACGCAGGCAGGCGAACGCGCAATGAATAAATAACTAATATACACAGTCAGGTTTAAACCAAGATGTGTTTTCGCTAAGAGTTAAAATGCCAAAGTTAGAGACAGACTAAGAGTGTGCCTAGTAGGCGAGGAAGAGTTAGAGATGGGGGGGGGGGGGGGGGGGAACTTCGACATTTGGTATGCTGGCAAGTTCACGTATGTCACGTAAACAGAGCGAATAATCTTAGTAGTTTTAGATTTTTTACCTCGATCACCGTCTGATTTCGATCAGTTATACACTCTACGAAATGATATCCAAGAAGATGTGTTATCACTCTTGCTGACGAGGGATTAGATAAGTGTAAAACATCACCCTACAACACTAACTCACCGCTTGTGCTATCAGATCAATAATGTAAACGCATATTCTGTCATAATGACAACAATCCTTATTGTTTCAACCAGTATACTAAACCAGCTCACCGCACCGCCAAAGCGTTTAGTTCACAGCGCTCGAAAGAATAATTAAACGACATAGTGTCCGCCTTACCGTGGTGCGTGTAAGTACTGGAGTCGCCACACCGCCCGGGCCCTCCGAGTCCTCCGAAGCCATTTTCCCGTATTCTATTTTGTAAGCCTCGGAGGCAAGCGTGGCGCGTGCGTACACAGCCCATACAATGGGTCACGCTGGTCGATATGCACTAAGTCAATACAAGATTAATATAAAAACTCGACTATAATCGATAAACTGTCGTTTTGTAGAATAGAGTAGTCTATTCAAATTTCTGCTTCAAGTTGCAAGAAGGAGATCCTGTGTATTTTTCATTAACGATGGATCGATTTTCAATCGGTTTAATCGGTTTAAAGTAGACAATGAACAAAGGAAAAAGCAACGACGTGTCTTTTTTCACCGCTAGCTGCACAAATGTGATGTGATACATATTCCTCAATAAATCAAAGCTGCTGCGGATAAAAGAGAAAGAAGTTCTCGGTCCATTATTTTGAATCATGGTTCACTGAAAAAAGGTCAATATCTAAAGCGCGGTTTCTACACTTCACGTTTATGTCACATTTGGACAATATTCTTCATTGTAGGAGAGAAATGGCGCTTTGTAGTTTTTTGTTTGAACAGATGGGGTCACACAAACTCCCCCATGGGCGGTCTATTCCATCTTTTTTTAATTGTTGATAGAATATGTAGGTAAAATATTTGTTTTTCGTCGTCAAACAAGTATGAAAATTTGCACACAATTTGTCCAAAGCCAATGAACAAAATAATAGGTTGAATGAATTATTTTAAACCTGACATAAAGAAAATATTAGTCTACAGAGTGAGGTTATAATGCAGTTACATTACAAAAACTAAACGTTTCCTATTCGATAAATGAATGAATGTTAATTAACTTATAAGTACGAATAAATGGGCGACTAAATAAATAAAGAAAGAAAGAAATGGTTGTTTGATTTTGAAATCAAATATTAGCAAATATGTACTTGTTTCGGTGCAATGGTGCGTCAAAATAATGTTGGGATGTCTTTTCCATCGCTTACTCAATAGTCAGTTTATCAATATGTTAAAAAAGGACTTCTGTTGTAAAGCAAAGATACATGGTTTAATGAGATTAAAGAAACTTTTCACAATGCGATAAAGTGAAAATATCCTACCCTGAGAACCGTGACTGGGCCGTTTGACTACTGTTCGCTTGCCAGTGAGACGTCATAAAGCATTGTCTTATGTCGTCATAAAGTATCACAGTGGCGAACGGGATGCATTGTCTCTTATGACGTTGTTCTTGTATATGACGCAACAACATCAAGAGAGATCCCTTTATCCCACTAATTATGTTTATTTGACGTGATACAATTAAAGGGATAATAACTCTTCGTATGAGATCTATATTTCACAATAAAAACATTTGTGAATAACTCATAGAAATACAATATTTTCTGTTTTACCACAAAAACGGCAGTTATAGCTATTATTCTGATGTCTGAGCTTGTCTTTAGACCACGTGACCTCCATTGATGGCTATACTCTGTTAAAATCTGTTAAGAGATTTTAACAAAAAACCAAACTTTTTAGAAAAAAACCAGGGACTAACTTTGAATGTAAAAATGGATTCATTAACCATTGGTAAGTATGGGAAAATTGTTGTTTACTCCAGGAAAATTCATTTTTTGGCCGAAACGAAGAGTTATTATCACTTTAACATCATTGTATGTGGCGTGTCTGTGTCAGTCGTTCAATCATTTTTATAAATCTTTTTCTTTGAAACACTACACTTAGTACGAATAATTCTCATTGCCCTTAAATGTCTTAATTTCTTCTGTATCAATGTAAGGGCGTCAAATAGCGTGTTTTCGCCCAATATCCGGTTTAAAAAAGCCCTCGTCTGAAGAGATCCTTGAGCCGAGGGGACTGTAAAGCTTTTGCGTTATTGAATGAATGCGACAATTCTACTTTTTCCCTTAAGTCGGGTTGTTTCCATAACACCACAAGCAGCAACAATAGCAGACTATGTACACTTATGACAGGCTTACAGGCGGGGGAGTAGAGAACGACAAAGGCAATGTTGGGGAAAGATATTATGTTGATCGATTTGGTTTTAAAAACGCCTGACTCCAATTTGAATGCATCGTTGAAACCAATGTTGTTGTTCAGATGGTAGTGTGGCGGGAGGTATAACTAGCTTATGTTTACTCAGGTAGATAGTTTTTAGACAAAGTGATCGACTGGTTACTGATCCGTATGATGTGTTGACTTACAAAGAATCTTTGTGAAAGGCTGACTATGGCGTCCAATTTACTATAGTGGGTGTTTGTTGGCGTGTTTTAACGAAATCAAAGGTTATTTGATGAATGGTATAGACACACACGCAAACACACACGCAAGCACTCACGCACACACTCTGCAATACAGTAGCTTCAGCGAATAAACAGCGAATAAAGTCGTACTTCTGAGCTCGAGGAAGGGGATTGCGGATAAATTTACTTTTTTTATCTTCATATCTAGATCCATGCTTCTTTTTTTAAATTATATTCTGAACTTCCCTTTTTGGCTCTTACAGTCCTGGTGTCTTGGTAACAATGATGACATCCACTCTTTTTTTGGTTTTATTTGCATTTTTATCGAGGTTGACCCACGGTTTATTAAGGACGTGTGACGCACTGCGACAGATAAGACGAAGATTGCGTCTCAATGATGTTAGTGTATTATTTGCATCGAAACTACATTGAATAAGGTGTATACACTATAATGACTTTATTCAAATTATCGTGACAGATATTCAACATAAAGTCATGATGCACGTTTTTTTTTTTTTGAAACAAAGGAACGACTTTCTCTCGTGATGGAGTAATTGGTTTTGTTTAAGTTGTATCACCAATTTATCTCAACATTTAAGACACTAACTGAGAAAGAGGCCGGACGAGATTATTTAACAATCTAACTATCATTTAAACATAAATAATTATGTGTTAAAATAAGTCATCGAGTATTTAGGTGCACATGCAAAATTTAGAAAACTGTATTACCAAATTATTATGAGCGTTTATTTTTCTCCGAGCAAAGTCGGTCGACAACCTCCTTCCATTTATCGGGATACGTCTTCAAATTATTCTGCATGGCATACACAGCCTGTTCAAATGGATATTCCTTGTTCTCCGTCTCGTCTTTTGGCGAAAAAACCATCAGTGCTGCCATCACTGCCAAGACAATCCCAATAAGCACCAAAATTCCCATTATTACTTTAAGCCAATCTTTTCGCTGCCATTCAAACACCAGTGGTGCAGTTTTAACATTAGTACTTTTTCTTATAGGACTATTCTTTGGACCACCTTTACGTTCAACATGACTGTCGTCTGCTGAATTAGTCACGTGGCTATCGATAAGCAGACGACAGGTGTTGTCTTCCGTACACGTACCCTCTTGTGCAAGCTTTTGATTTCCGCTGTCTAGCTTCAGAGGCTGTTTTTCTCTGACATTTGCGTTATCAAGTTCAAGTTTCAGTAAACACGACCTTGGCCTAGGCCTTTTATCAAACTGACCCTCGCCTTCCCGACTGCATTTATCGCCATCCTCTCTATCGTCATTTTCTAATTCCGATTCAGAAGCCTCAAATATTTCATTTTGCAACGGTAAAGACATGACTGCAGGTATTCAGCTTGTATTACGTTGCAAAACGTAGTCCAATCCAGAGTCCAGTTCATACAATGTCCGTTGTTATATAGGTCTACACACTGTACGTCCGACATGAACCTTGGACGGTTCTCCTTTCAGAGCGAGAACTGAAATCCAGCCTTACACGTGCACCGGTATATATATTTATATAAGATATCAGCATTAAGTCGACGTACTTTGCAGTCCTACCATTTACCTTAGTTATTCCCAAATTTGGTGTAACTGTAAGGGTAAGGCCATACTGGTCATCCGCGTCCCGGATTTGACACTGTGATAATGCAGAGCGGCTTTGATATGGCAAACCTTATCATTAAGTTAATTTGTGATGTGACGATAACGTGTGTAGCAGATTCAGGCCCAGGGCATAGGTCGCTTACATGTACATAATTGTCCCGAAAAACGCAGGTCGTTGAATGATCCTTTTTTTATTTTTTATTTTTTTATTTATTTTATTTTATTTTTTTTAGTGAACAAACCAAATTGATTTTTTATGAAAATAATGGAAGGCAAATCAGAGATTCAGCTGTAAGATTAATGTTTTTTTTGGTCATTTGCATTAAATATTTCGATATTCAAAAATTTGACTGCCCCCTTGGGGTTAATGGTTATGTGTTCCATATATTGACCTTTTGAGTATGACGTCACATTCCAGATCTGGTTCAGGTGACTAAAAATAACATACATCACTTTGGGAGTAAGCTATTAGGAATTTCGCCATTTTCTGACGATATATCTTTGGCATTGAATGTATAGGTCTTTGTCAGCCGCTTGTTGGACAGACCGAACATAAATGAAGATGCTTCTTTTTTCCTAAAGGATTTCGATTGATTTTGTTAGCTTTATTTATTATGCGATACATAATCTCTACAAGGTGCGCCTTGATATCAATATCAGGTAAAGATTCGTGTGGATGCTTCAGCTGAGGCTGGTCCGAATGAGGACGCATATCAACAATCGCATTTATGTAGCCAAATGTTCACAAGCACAACGAGGCTCTGTTTTTGCTCCAAAATAAGTAAGATAAGTCCATATGACTGAAAATTGTCATTTATTAATGACGAAAACTAATAAGATACAAAGTTAAAATACTGGGGAGATAATCTAACATTCCCCAAACTATATAAGTGCCATAATATAAAAATAATAAAGTATGTTAATGAGTGTAACCAAGATTAATTAAGAAAAATATGAGAATCACAACAGCTAAAGGAGCAAAAAGTTGGCACTGCATGCCTCGAAGAAACGTGTGTCACGGCCTGAATGGGCGTACAGATAAAAAAGTAAGTAAAACAATAACTTGATGAAGATATTTTTATACACATAATTAATGCACACTGACGGTTTACTGGTAAATGAATATAGCGGTAATGTTTTACACATGGTGAATATCTAAAAATCTATAATTAAAATAGCATCTTACAAAATGCATAAACT